CTCCAGAGTTTACTATGAGGCATATTTTTTATGTGAAATGAGCAAACGTTTTCGGATCAACCTTTGTCATTATATTGTATACATAATAGTTTCCCCTCTTGTTGCAGACATCGAATACTCTAGCTTGGGCACTGTACCAACTATGCAGGAACCCAGATATCCAGGATCGGTTACACAATGAAGTGTTGTCAACAGTCGGACTGGATAGAATAGCGTGTGTCAATGACATCAAAAACATTCCACTCGTAAAAAACATCGTTAAAGAAACATTAAGGTGGGCGATGAGTTTCAATTTCCTTGCTTTAATCTCAATAGGCTAACAAAACAGTGGCGGATAAAAGAGGGGCTCAGTCGACCTGGGCCCCCATAATTTTTAAATTAAAAAAATACCGTACTTGGAGGAAAAGAAAATGATATTTAAATTTCAGTCGGAGAGAGCCATATACGGCCATCCAGAGGTGCCATCATAAATTTTATTGCATCGGCCAAAACCATGGTAGGGCTGAGGTGGTATAGACACTCTATCTGTGAGAGTACCTTCCTGGGCCTCCTCTATTTCAAATTCCTGGATATAAAAATCTGCGTATCATCATTTCATTCTTATTTAAACATTATCATCTTTAAATTCTATTCGATTTCTTTTAATTCTACAAGTGCCATATATGGACCAATATCCACACAAACACAATGGAACACACAAGACATTTAGTGTCAGTTTTAATTTTTTTAGAAATGTATATATGGATTTTTATTGGTCTGTTTGAATTCAATGAATTCATTATGTCCACTTACGTTTATTTTATTCAGAATGTATCCCGTTGTAAGTGCAAATAATCGGATTTTCGATAAGGACGTTGTGATCGGCGGTTATGAAATTCCGAAGAATGTAAGATATTCCATAAATAGTTTTTATCATAATATTATAGGTTATAAATCAAAAAGTAATACATGAAAAAATATGAAAGCCAAAGCAGAGGAAAAAAACGATGAATGCATTATTGTGTACGGCAATAATACCAATCAACACGTTTTTTATATAAATGGATATACAAATCATTCTTTAAAATATTGTTATTAAATCCAGCTTAAAATTATGAATAATAAAATGTAAAATGTTTATTAGGCAACAGCTTATTGAGGACAATAACTATTTGGTAAGAGAGACCTAAAATTTCCGTTTATTTCTTTACGGTACCAGTTGTGAATAGGCCTAAGTAGAGTTGTGTGGCGGAGGAATGCTCTTTGGGATTTTCGTATAAACGTTTGTGTGCGCGCGAGTGTTGGGGTGATTCCACTTTTCAATACCGTATTACAAAATGTGCATTTCTATCTTCATTTAGACAATAATCGGTTCGTTGCAATATGTGCTTGGTCATGATGAAAACATCTTCCCAGAGCCAGATCGTTTCATTCCCGATCGTTGGATGAGATCCGGTGGGACAAAGGCATCAACCTTTGCCTCGATACCATTTGGATTCGGCACCAGAATGTGCATTGGTAGGCGAGTTGCCGAACTAGAACTGCATTTAGCACTGATACGGGTACGCATGTGTTTTGTTTTGATATTAATACTGGTTTTTATGTTTATACAATATGTAATAATTTTATATGAATATTTGTTCCACAATGGTGAAAACAAATTTCTAGTCCTACTTACTATAGCCTGTGGAAATAATATTTCAACATAGCCAGGTCTCAATTAAGGTGAACATGCTTATACAGTAGTGTGAGCGAATGCTAGTCATTCGAACGGATACCATTCGAACTGGGTGGATTTTTTTTTGTAACATAACTTATAGTAAATGTTTTTTAATCTTGCTTTATATTACAGATTTCCCAACAATTCAAAATCACCTACTTGGGCAAACCCGATGAAACCGTCAAGCCACAATTACGAGGGTTGTTAGCACCAGGAGACCTTCTACCGGTCGGCCTGGAAGATCGGTAAAGACAGAAACAATTCTGGGCCTATCATGTTTAGGCCTAATTTCATCTTCCATTAGCCTCAATGAAATGCAATGCTACACACCAACATGACTTTCGAAAGGGCCGTCTATATATATTCACATTCCTGGGCAACATATACCCATAAACTTCGGCTTGGAAGCGAGTGGGGCTGAAGAAGGTCTATGGTAATTTTTTCTGGTTTGGGATCGTTCGCACCCTGGTTACAGGGGAAATCGTTTTTCAGGAAACGGTACTTGAATTTCTATTTCAAAATGTTCGTGTTACATATCAAGTGAGAATTTTAAGTTACAAAGTGCCATAACAAATTATATTCGTCAACTTTTAACGTATACATTTTATATAACGCTTTTACATTTGTATATACAGTAGGCCTACATTGAATAAAATTGCATGTACATTAATAACAGAACAACAGATATTTGTATATCTTCAGCCTGGCAATTTTTTTTTCTGAAGAGTGGCACATCGTGCCATGGAAATATCTAGTAATGTCTATATCAAACTTTTTGTCTGAAACCATATTTTTTTAAAATTTTATATTATTCCGGTATATACCTTATACACATCTAGATGTGCCTGGTAACCCACCATGGAGGCTATCATAATCATGTATTGCCACTCGCCTGTTTTCGAGAGTTCTTTCGGGTTTCAAAAATTTTCATGATAGGACAACAAAAGAAAAACATTAATAACGCGATGACAAACGTTAATGGGAATATTAAAACGGCAATTATTACGACTACGATGAAGCAGGGCAGCGAAATGCCTGTCTGTATACTGCAGCATTTTACTCCATCATTATGATCGAAATCAGTGTAACATGAGCAGCAGAAACAAGATCCAGCATTGCCATCTTCAAAAGGCTCATCTGTACCGCTTGCGTTTGTTTCAGTGGCTATTTGAACGTTTACTATAGTGCCTGTTGTAACGCTTGTATCAGCTTCTATGTCGACATGTGCAGTATCGTTTTCCATTTCGTATTCTATACCTTTTCTGCCTGTCATGGTTTCTTTGCGTTCCATGTGTCGTTTTGCTTCTTCAGCTATTTTTTTCCATGCGTCTCTACAAAAGATTACAATCAATCAATTGTCAAAAGAATGAATAGGTATTATTTACATCAGACAAAAAGAAATAAGAAAGTATAATATATATTCCAAGTATTGAAATACACGCCATCGTGTTGGGATTCAATATTTCGACATTAATTATGTCATCATCAGGAAAAACAAAAAGAAATTGTTAGCTTTAATACTAGTGATATTATTTTTCTTCAAACTGGACGAAAATCGGGTTTTTCAGCTCAGTCATTTTAGGGAGCTTTCGATTGCACGACGACGGTAGGACGTAGGATGTAATGACGTCAGTAAAAGTCATCTGCGCATCGAGAACGTGGTCACCTCGTCGAGTAGATTCTGGAATCTAATGTATATATAAATCTACGCATGCACAGAACGTAGGACGGCAGGTAGGGCGGTCACGAATGAGTGATTCCGTTCTAGAGTCGCGTCGTCGCACAAATCGAAAGCTCCCTATTATAAGCAATAGCCCTATTATAAGCAATAGGCCTATAACGGAACTTTCCACTTTCCGGAGTGTCAATCAAACTTAGCAACTGACGAATTAGAAGAAGACAGGAACGCGCGTGTACTAAAAACACGTCCTACAAACACACGTTGTCGATCCCATAAATACAGGTGCTTACGTACACTTACGCCATTGTTATGTGGGAGCCATAGCAACAATATCCAATGGTGGGTGGGGCGGGGGGCTCAGCGGAAAGGTCCATTAGTATGTCCCACCAGGCTGAGCACTAAGACATCTGACATCAATGCACATGGCACACATACAATGATAACGAATATACACAATATTAGAGGAGCGTTTTGTTCATTAACACTCACATACAAGTGTTAACACTATATACAGTCTATGCCGTAGCCAGGATTTTCAAACAGTGTGGGACAATATCAATTTGGACCCATTTCACGCAAAAATATTAAAAATCTGAACCCATTTTCTGAAATTTTACCCATTTTAAGCTAAGTGTGAGAAACCTGGACCCATTTTTCAAAAAGTGGACCCATTTTATGCATAAAATTACATAATTTGGACCCATTTTTAAAAATGTGGACCCATTCTTGGACCCATTAGAAAAATGTGGGACTGTCCCAACAGCTGGCTACGGCATTGTATACAGTATAACGTGATGATGGTGATGATGAAGACGACGTCGATGAAGATGACGGCGACAATCATTGTTTCATAGGAAAACATGAGTCAGCTATAATGAATTTGTTATCTAACTCATCTAACGTGAACTTACACTTTCTCATTCAGTAGATCTTTCTGGTTAAATATCTGCTTGAAATGTACATTCCCAGGTTCAAAATCACTTTGTTTAATTCCATAAGGAACGATTTCACTCATGAATGCTTCTGAGTATAGTAAGTCGTCGTCCCTTTTGAGAAACAAAACAAATAAACCATTTGATATAAAGTATTATCATCATTCATAATTTTCTACACCGTAATATTGTTTGCTTATGTATCAATGCTATGGCCGGGAAGTTATAAATCGGAGGAAAATGAGGAATAGTTAAATCCAGCCGACTCGTGGATTGGAAATGAAACACCACATATTCTCAAGTTTCCGCATGCATCGTCATATCAGGTCATGATGAAATTTCAAAAACAAACTGCAACTAAGGTTATAGGTGATAGGCCTATTTAGATAAGGTAGAATACACATAGGTCTATGCATAATACAACGCCTACGATAGAGAATCACCAATGCATTATGATGGATTAACCCCGTCTTAACAGAGTATAGTCTTTGACGTCGGCCTATTATTATTAATAATGCTGTGGAAAATGTGAACATCCTGGACTCACTATGCGTGAATTGGTCGTGGTACTGCGCGTATCGTTTAAAGAGACGCACTAGCAGACCCCTGAGATTTAAGTTACGTAATTGACCACCGGCTAAACATCTCGACTTTGAGACTCAGTAAACTGCCACTTACCACATTGTTACAGTCTCCTCCTCCCATTTCTCTTCATCGTCGAATTTCAAGGTGGACCTGCGGACATACATATTCTGGGAAGGCATACTATGTGGTGTTTCCCCTAGGGATGACTGCCTCGGTAAATGCACTGTCGCCGAGGGTTGGCGGTGGTTCTGACGGGTTTTCCTCTTAGATTTGGGCATGCTGTCAGTTAGTGTAGATGGTGACCAATATTAGCGACTTCTTTCATATATTAGCACATTTTAAGCAGATGGTAATCTAAACGTATGTTAAATTATCAAGTAAAAAATGGTTAGAATAAACTGTTGAAATAAACGAAAACTAAAAAATCGTCTTTTCTTTTTGGAAACATTTAAATATATAACCAAAGAAAAGGGTAAAACCAGCTTTAGTTGTGGCAGAGGTTTAGGTTAAGAAACTAAGGCCAACTGCAAGTAATTTTATTTATGTAAGTTAAACGTCAAACCTGTACCCCAGATACAGACGCAGTGTAAACATGTCTAGCACTGAATAAAACTCGGACTTATATACATGTGTTTTGCTAAATTGAAAATTACATATGAAACAAGTACAGCAAGGGTCGGTATCAACATGTATTCCATCTTAGCAATCAAAACCTACAAGCACTGTTAACATTTATTTGTGAATGTCGCCTTCATATTACAGAAAAATTACAATAAAGTGATGATCTTACCTTGTACATTTATCTGTCGTCTGAATATGTCAGAACCTAAAGTGATATGATCATCAGCTGTACACTGTATTGTATTTAGGAACGATCAAAACCAACAGTATGTTTGACAAACGGGCACGGTTCTCTTTTCACCTACCTGTATAATAATCGCGCTACTGTAGGCTCATATATTGTCATTTAAAGATTAAGCAAACACACGACTTAACATTTGCTTTAAACAATATTTATTGTATCAAGAACTAAAACCATGTAGGTAAGGTTGTAGTTCCCGCCTACACATTGACTGGCACTCTCAACATCTGACACCCCAATAAGCTTGCATTCATCCCCACAAAAATGTTAAAATCCTGAGCACAGATCCTGAATCACAAATCCTGATCCTGATCACAGATTAGCTGTGTCACGTCTTCAGGTTTCCGGAAAATTCGAGCTTTCTTTGTTAATACAGTAATAAATCTTGTTTTAAACTCATAGTTTTCTTCAATAAATATAATAATGTATATACAGTAATTGGCAAAACTAATAATAATAATACAGATAAATATGTATATTTTTTCTGTTTCTGTTTATTTTGACATAATTCACAGAAAATATCATTTCCTTTTTATTAAAAATAATTTCATAAATGTTGGAATCTATGATAAAATGAGATAAAAGGATTTGACATATAGTGCATCGCTAGCATGCAAGTTATGTATATACCACAGGCGGAAAATATCAAGGGACTCACCACACTGTTGACAATTTTATAAAGGGAGAGAAAAGAAAATTGTATTGAAATTTAAGTGCCACCTAGAGGTGCCATAGACATTAAATTTCGTCCCTCTGTTCCAAATAGGGCTGACAGTCTGGACACTTCATCTATTCTCTGCCCAGGCCCCCTCCATTTCAAATCAGTTACATATTAATATTTCTGCATGTACACCAATCAAAAACAGGATGGAATGATGATCTAGAAACCATCTCTGCTGGGCATGTGGCCCTTCCGACCCTCAATCCTCCCACCTTGGTAGTAGTACAGTACTGTAGTTGTTTTTTAGTGCAGAGAAGAAACGGAGTTTCACAGAATCTAAATCTTGATCCAGGGATTTTGGTTTAAGTCTGTGGCTTTCCCAAATCCCTTGTTTTAATTTATTGTTACCTAAATCGGTACAGCGCCAACGAGCAACTTAACTTGAAGCAAAGATCTTATAAACACAAGATGTAGCGTTCTCCGCAATTTACGCGCAACAAATAGAAGCGTCGATTTGGCACAGAAAAGTAATCAGTTTTGGGAAAGGGCGTCCTAGTTTTTGCCATGGATCTGAGATAGGGTGTTCGCGTTACGCCATAAGTTTGTTACCAAGTACGTTAATTTGTTCCTTATGTTCTAAACAGAGGGCGCATTGCAAATCGGACACTTCTAATTGTTACGCGTAAACGTAAAGTCGCACAGCGTACGCTATGGTCAGAGCGATCAAGGTTCAAAAGTTTTCAATTTTGCAAGAGGGCACTTTTCATGCATTATTACCGAATTTGCACGCGTAAAATGCGGAGAATTCTATCTTGTGTTTATACGATCTTTGACTTGAAGGTATGGAAAAACAATTCTAATACATACTGTATAAATATCAAAATATTTGTATTATTGTAATAATTCAGCCTTCCAGATCAACTTGCTACTCTACAGTATCCGACTTGATATAAAACAATATTATTTCAAAATGGAAGTATTTTATCATAAAAATAAACAGGATTTAAAAACATGATGTTTTATTTTTCCTTACATGGATATTACACGGGACACATGCTTATCTTCACGGGTGCAATGTGGTAGGGCAATATTCCACAAACAGTGGTTCATGATCTACCGATGGGTCACCAATATATTTGGTGGGTTGCAAAGCCTTGACAGAAATTACCAGAACTATTAGCTCAACTCTGTTGCTTAATACAGTACTATAAGCATTATGATAATTTAAAATCCCAGTCCTAAAATAGTCCAATGCGAACATGCATCTCAGTTAAACTTTCCGAGTCTTTCGAGCACTACTCAATGGAGATATCACAGACTTGCGCTCTCAATACTTTATTTTCAACGCTGGGTTAGTTTTACCATTTCTCACAGTAAAACTAACCTACTCAAAAAATCCAAGAGTGGACAGAGCGGTAATATCTACCCATTAGAACTTTACCCAGAGTATCAATAACATCTTCCCTTTGTTAAGTCCAGTGTGATTGCAGCTTAAAAGTTTGCAGAATGCTGCAGTAGGGGATGTGTGGCAATATTTTATAAGCAACATTAGATCCATTTAATTTTTAAGTATAATACTTTAATTACCTGCTGATAAAAGTCGTTTGTACAGTGTAATACATAACAATAATAGAGGGCTTTTGATTGCACAATGACGGTAGAACGTAGAACGTAATGACGTCACTAAAAGTCATCTGCACATGCAAGAACGTTAAGGTCACCTCGTAGAGTAGATTCTGGAACGCAATTTGGCTAAATCTACGTATGCACAACACGTAGGACGCCAGATAGGGCGGTCACGCATGAGTGATTTCGTTCTAGCGTTGCGTCGTCGCACAAATCAAAAGCTCCCTATTAAAGGTCTACCTCTAATTAATGACACCTTCAATGAAAGGCCCCTCCAGTCACCCCTCCAATGAAAGGCCCCTCCAGTTAAATACCACTTGTCAGCAGCCCCAAATTAATGCCTATCATATCTTTTTGATATCATTCTTTTAATTAAAAACCAAATCTGCTAAATAAAGACAATGAAAACTCTGGTCCCAATAGTGGACCGGATCATGTGAGGGAGGCCTGCACTTGATCGGGTTTTAAAAAAGATGTACAGTACTTACAATGCCGTAGCCAGGATTTTCAAACAGTGTGCGACAATTTAAAAGTGGACCCAATTAAAGAGGCAAAAAAAACAAAAAAAAAACAAATTTAAGAAAAATTAAGTGGGATAGTCCCATTAGCTGGTTACGGCATTACTTTCAATGCAACTGTACTGTACTCTATATTTTTCTGTTAAATTTAAAATGCAACATTATTTTCTACTACTATGACTTCTTCAGGAATTATAACGATTGTATCCTCGGTGCTAACATCTTCTGTTTGCCGTGAATTATTGAACTGGCCTAGCTTCAATCCCCCAGAATGCACCGTTACCTCCACATCTCCTTTGTGAGCATCATCATAATGGTTGATCAGATCCTTGTACACATCTGTTTTGAATGTCTTACAGATGTCGCATAGGTAAACTTTAGTGTTCTTGTGCTTTGCTGTATTTTTTATATGTTTCCTCAAGTTACCAAGATAAAATGTAGTATACGAGCAATACGGGCAGAATAATCGATTCTCCGGATCATGTTGTTTTTTATGCCTGGTGACACGGAAAGCTGTCTTGCCAACAAATGTGCAGCCTGGATAGTCACATTTAAATGGTTTCTCGTCTGTGTGCGTTATCATATGCCTCATAAGACGATTCTTATTTGTGGCCTTGTAGCCACACTGAGTGCAGAGAAAAGGCTTTTCTTTAGTATGTGTGCGTATGTGGATCTGAAGTTCGCAATTGCTGACACACGCATACTTACAGTTTTCAAAGCTGCAAGTGAACGGTCGATGGTTCTCATGTACAGCTTTGATGTGCCCCTTAAGGCCATACATAGTGGCATATCTCTTTCCACATTCATCACATTGATAAAGAAGATCCTCAAGACCTTTTTCTCTCTGGTGACGATGGTTATGGGTTCTCAGAAGACTTTTTCTTGAGGTGGCATAATCACACTCAGTGCATTTGAATTCTTTGATGCCAAGATGGCGTTTCATGTGCATCCTCATATCTGACTGCGTAACACTAGCATACGTGCATAAGTGGCACTTAAACGGCTTGTCACCATTGTGAATGCGCATGTGCACCGGGCCAGCACGTGCCCTCAAAACTTTAGCACATACTGGGCACGTCCATGTTTTTGGGTTTGAATGTTTTACTTTCATTTTTTTTTTAACAGATTTATTCCTACTTGGACTTTTTTCATGATTTTCCTCAATATCAGTTATGACATCACTAGAATCAGTTGATTCTTCATCATTTCCTTGTTTTTGTGGTGATACAAAGTTTTTATTTGCAGATCTCGTCTTTCTGTAATTCTTTCCTTTAACATCTTCATCACCTACGCCGTCCAAGTTTAATTTAGCTTTTTCCTTTTTAGATGCCAATATCATACTTTGTTTGTTTGCACGTGTTTGTCTATAATCAGTATTGATATTTCCGAGCAAACTGGCTTCCAAATAGCGACTGTAATCATAATCTTCATCAGCAGCTACTTCAGACGATTGAGATTCAACTTTAGAATTGACCTGAATACTGCCCTCACTACAAATACTTTCCTCAACACATTCTTCAACCTTTTTTTCTGTTTCTTTTAATATGCCCTCTGATAAGTCATTTAACAACAGTTCAGATACTGACTCTCCACCAGCAGCTACTTCAGATGGTTGAAATGCATCTTTAGAATTGACCTGAATACTGCCCTCACTACAAATACTTTCCTCAACACATTCTTCAACCTTTTTTTCTGTTTCCTTTAATATGCCCTCTGATAAGTCATTTAACAACAGTTTAGATACTGACTCTTCACCAGCAGCTACTTCAGATGGTTTAGATGCATCTTTAGAATTGACCTGATTACTGCCCTCACTACAACTACTTTCCTCAACACATTCTTCAACATTTTTTTCTGTTTCTTTTAATATGCCCTCTGATATGTCATTTAACAACAGTTTAGATACTGACTCTTCCCCAGCAGCTACTTCAGATGGTTGAGATGCATCTTTAGAATTGACCTGAATACTGCCCTCACTACAAATACTTTCCTCAACACATTCTTCAACCTTTTTTTCTGCTTCCTTTAAGATGCCCTCTGATAAGTCATTTAACAGTTCAGATACTGACTCACTGCTTTTTTTCACATCATTTTCGATTTTCTCTGTTACATCAACAGCCTCAGAATTCTGTAAGTTTGATTCTAACTGCAAAGAGGACGGTTGCAAAGTGGTCTTCAATATTGTTGGCTGCAAAGATGCATGCTGGGTTGGCTGAGAGACCATTTGGCGATTGCAAGTAGTTTTCCTGTGCTGAATATAATTTTGAAGACCAGAGATATGTGCATCACATTTGAGGCAATGATGGGTGTCATCATAGTCTTCATTAACCTCCTCCATCTAAATTTGAAAATATAAGTCATCATTATTACAAATATATTTAAAATATTAAAAGCATGCACCAAAACATACCTTAGTCTATAATCTGGTACTGGAAAACAAATAGTCTTATGACCAGGGCCAATAGATACATATCTACACCTCATTCTGGTTGCATAGCTATATGATGAGTACAAACAATTATTAGAGAATTAAAAAACAAAATAATTGATGGTTAAATTATGATGCCACATAGGCCTAGGCTAGCTAGGCCTACATACCGATGACAGATCGGCCCATTACTACTACTAGTAGCTAGGCCTATCTATAACCTAGCCTTAAGTGGCCTTCCTGTATAATTACGACTTGGCCTAGCCTACCGTCCTAGGCCAGTCTATTCCTGAATCCTGTGCTCTGTAGGCTCAGCTAGCCAACAAGGCTCCTTGTTGGGCCTAGCCAAGCGGCAAGCCAAGGCCTCAAACTCTAATTGCAGAAAAGCATGGTTTCGGGTTTGCTTTAACTAACTTTCTGTGATCACTGTTTGACGTTGGTCTTGACCAAAAAAATATATTGACCGCGATTTATTTTGATATCAGTACAGCATTACTATTATCCGATGGCTCCCTATCTAGGAGCAAAGATCGTATAGCATAGCGGCGCTATACGATCTTTGCTAGGAGCCTATGATCTGTTGCTTGCGTCTTGGACTCAAACTATAGATGGCGGTATTGTGAGTCTGAACGATAATGTTGGCTCGACCAAGTTATTTTCTAGAGTATAAATAATACTACAGTAGAACCCCTCCTTTGGGACACCCCTATTCAGGGGACACCCCTATTAAGGGGACACTTTTCCGTGAAACGAGGGGCGATATAGCTTTTAACACTGCGGACAACCCCTATTAAGGGGACGGGGACCCTTTCTGAGTGTGTCAAATGGTCAAATAACCCCCACTATGGGGACACTTTATTTTTTTTTTCTATTGTATCGCAACAAATACAAGTCTCTAAATAAGAAAAATTCACTCAACTTTATAGTGACATATTTTGAGCAACTTATTAAGGAACTTACACTTTCTATCTATTATCGCCTTTCTGCTGCTGTTTGTCAAGCGAGCTTTTGTTAGACTACGTAATGATAATAATAATAATAATAATAATAATAATAATAATAATAATAATAATAATAATAATATTTTAACTGAAATTGAAATAGAATTGAAGTAGTTTGATGAGTTTAAGTATTTTCATGGGTTGTTGTTTTGCCTGTATCTGTTAAAGTGGTGTTCTGTTCTCACCTCTTATTGATTTGATTGAATTTTATATTTATCCAATTTTGTTGTAGCTTTTATTTTAATTGTTCTGGTATATGTGTGAGTGCCATAATCATACTTTTTTATCTCAGCCCCACCAGGGCAACAGCATAATGCGTCTCTGTAATCGACTGTAGGACATAATATTATATCCAGTGGTGTAAAAAAGAGGTGGGGTGCCGGCGGGGCCTCATTAAATTTGTTAAAATATTTTTTGAATGGGGATAAAAAGACAATTATATTCACAAATTTATGTCTGTGAGTGCCACTTCCGGCCTTCTAGAGGTGCCATAAGCATACATTTTCTTACCTCCCCAACCATGGTGGGATTGAGGTGGTGTGAAAGTTCCTCCTTGGCCAATTTATGTCAAATACCTAAATCCGCCACTGATATCATATCATTTATTCGTCATGAAAAACATTTAAAATAACAATACAAACATGATTAAAATACGAGCACATCTAAAATCCCACGATGGAATTTGCGAGCGGGACTCAAAAAGGGCCCCAGTTTCAGAAAGCCACAGGGCCCCTGGTCCCATCGGTACGCAACTGTGTAAAAGGTTGTCTACGATAAATAAATGAATGGAAATTGCGAATATGAACAAATAATTTCAAGCGCTTTACGTCGTATATGAGATGGGTAGACGTCAAAAATATATGAAATCGAGAATTCCTAAAATAAACCTATTCTGATCGGGTAGGAAAAACAATGCCAATTAATCCATTTGTTGTTGTTTTCAGGCGAATAGGCCTACGTCCACCACTCTACCGATTTTGATTGCTGTGTCATAATGAATGTTCAATATATATTAACCCCCCCATCTCCTATAAATTTTTCAAAAAATTTTAAAAACAAATTAATGAGAAAGAAAAAAGACAATATTAATCAAATTTAGGTCTGATAATGCCATTTCCTACCATCTAGAGGTATCATAACCATAGGCCTACATTTTTACGTAGAGCCCCAACTATGGTGGTCTCTTATACACATCTATGCATGCTGGGTTTGTCCCTCAATGGGCCCCTCTATTTCGAATTACTGCAGGATATCACTGAAAATATATGATAATAATAGTCGCGCTAAGAAATCAGTGAATGAATAATAAGCCTATTATTCACACTTGGTTTTGCTGCGTAGCACCGCGTAAACACAACATAAACAAATAGAAATAATAATAGTAGTGCACAAATAGGAACATTATGATGTCATAATCGAATCATAAGGCATCTTCCTCCATTTAGTTTTCCAATTGCTCCTTATCGGCATTCTCGCCCCCATAATAATGTATACCTGCCACTGATAGCAAAACATGCAGTAACCAAATCAAAATTATATATTTCTAATTATAATTTTGGAATAATTTGACTCAGTAGGTCTAAACATAGCCCGTGGCGAGCTTTAAAAGAGATCAAAGTTAGTGGAACAGCACCAGGGACAAAGTGCTTAGACCATAGATCGTATGATCTGCTACCGCAAACTACCACGCCTTCCGGATGTCATGTCGATTATCGGATTATCTAATAATTATTACAGTATTCACCACGAATAAAAACACAATAGAACATGTATTGAACAACAACTAAATTCTTAATCAACACATTGCTTTCGCGCGCGGACTAGAGAGACAGAGTGAAGCCCTTACATCAACTTCGCATTCAAATTCATGAGTGGAAATCGAATTGAAAGGCACACTACAATAAAGATGAGTTTTATTGTGTTATTTAAATAGCCTAATGATTTAATAAAAACACTGCTGTCTGAAACTGTTTACGTAATCCCGAGACAATCGCTCCAAGTTCGTTAATGGACCTTTCATGTGGCCAATCAGAACAGGACTAATAATACGCGCATGTCTCACATATATGTTCGTACGTTCACAATAGGGAGCTTTCGATTTTTGCGACGACGCGACGCTAGAACGGAATCACTCATGCGTGACCGTCCTACCTGGCGTCCTACGTTCTCTGCATACGTAGATTTGGCCAAAATTGCGTTCCAGAATCTACTCGACGAGGTGACCTTAACTTTCTCGCATGCGCAGATGACTTTTAGTGACGTCATTACGTTCCATGTCCTACCGTCGTCGTGCAATCGAAAGCTCATTATTATCGTTTTGTAGGACTTTAGAATAGGGGGACATCTAGGGGTATGACATCATAGATAACACTTAATAGAGGCACGGAAATAATAATTTTGTCGTTCATGGGGCACTGTCTCAAATGTGTGCGGTGTTCGACAGTTTGACGGGGATGTTTGTTAATTCATTAACATTAAAATGAGCCTCAATCTCATTAAGATTATTTATGTTATCAATTATTGTGTAATTGAGATAAGGTATTTTATTGCGATAGCAAAAAAGTGAAATATGGTTTTTAAAAATATGTTAATGATTCTGTTATGACATGAATATGATTAATAGCTGAATTCGCAAACAATTAATCAGTTTAAATTAAAAATCACCATCAGAGTTTAAGCCGTATGTATAATTAAACAAAGGAGCGAATAAGCATTTGTTTTAGCTTCAAGATTAAGGTAAATCAAAGTATTTGGACAGGCATACTATGTTTAGAATAGGAAAATGTCTTCAAATGCAGAGAAGTTACCTTTTGCTGTGCAATGTTAATTTGATGTTAACATCGTGTTTTAAAATGCCTGATAAACTTCAATGGTTTAATTGTTCTTGGAGGGTTACCAAGATTGAGTTAACGAAATTGTCTCAATTTTAACCTTCTGCTTCTATAAAAGTAAAGTGTTAAAAAGACTAGAGTTGGGGGGTTAACATACCATGTTCGCCTATACGCATGCACAGTTTAATTTTCATTACGAGACTCTCAATTGCGCATGCGTATGGGTAAAAATTTTCGATTTTCGGCAAGTGGAAAACGGCCTTTAAGCTATTCAATTGGTTTAAAATGATTTTATAGTTCGAGGCCGATATTCATTATACAGTATGCCAGATCCAGTATTTAAAAAACGTTTTAAAAAGTTATGTGTGTATTATGTACATATAAGTATGTGTAGGCCTATATATACATGTGTATGTATGTTGTATATAACTCTTTGGCTGATAGCATCGTTCATGTGCATGCGCATAAATCCACTAGGCAAATCTATTCGCGCGAAACGAAAACGTCGGTTCATGCGCATGCGCATTCACATTCCTATCGGAGTTTTTGCGAAGCGAAAAAAATGCGCAACAAATCAGAGCTCAGGAAGCGAAAAGATGCTTTGATTCGCGCGAATAAAGAGTGCCTAAATATAGAATTCGCGCAAGTCGGGCGATTCTATTCTCTTTTCTTCATGCTCGAGGGTAAGTTTCAAGAAAACCTTACAGGCGCACGTATATAATCAACATCTGGTTGCTCAACTCAATAAGGGAACTTGTAATGTTCGTTTGAAAATGAAAAAAAAATCTATATTGTATAATAATAATTCTGTAATAATAATAATAGTAATAATAATAATAATAATAATAATAATAATAATAATAATAATAATAATAATAATAATAATAATAACAATGTAGGCCTAATAATAATAATAATCGCGAATAATTGGCGAAATTGTAAATTTCTAGGCAGCAAGTTGGGAACAAGAGAAGACATCAGGAACATAAAACACCTCTCTCTAGCAGCATTCTCTAAAATAAGTGGTATACTCCAAAATAAGAAAATAACAACCAAATTGAAAGTGAGAGTCTTCAATGTATATGTCACCAGTATCTGCCTATACAACAGCGAACTCTGGAGAATGACCAAATTGTTAGTGAATGAAATAGATGTGTTCCAACGAAAGTTTCTACGAAGAATATTAGGTATAAAGTGGCCAGAGAAAATATGGAATGACGAGTTATATAGAAAGACAGGGGAAGAAGAATGGACTAAGAAAGTAAAGAAAAGAAGGCTGGTATGGTATGGGCACCTGCTCCGCTTAGATGAACACACTCCAGCTAGAATGGCATACCACGAAGCAGAGCGAAAGGTAAAACGTACGCAGGGGCGGCCGACAACAACATGGATGGCCAACATCAAGAAGGAAACCAGATTTTTCACACGCGGGTCTATGCACGCACTTGCTCAAAAACGCACCGAATGGCGGAAATTAGTGAGATGCGCGATGTCTAACGACGACTAGCGTTCAAGAATAATAATAATAATTTTTCAAACGCAGGGGGAAGCATGTTCAGAATAGATAATGAGTAGCGCTAATTTCAATATAGGCCTATGCATTGAAATTTTAAAATTTAGTGGCAAAATGGGATGGGGAACGTGCTCCCCCAGCTAGATCCGCCCCTGCACATGCGACCCCACACTTAGAAGTGGGATCAACCTGAAGAAGAACATTTTGTTGTATAGTAGGCCTGCTAGCATGTGATTAATTAATGTATTACTGTAGGCCTAATCAAAATTTAAAAATTGATGAACTTTATTTTTAAAATGGTATAATAATTCAAGATTTCTTCTCCGAGCCTGCAACTTTAATACCAATTTCCTTGCCTGATGCCTCTCCTCCTTGAATCCGCCTATTATATGTATCCTGTGCACTACGAATGTTCTTGAAGGATTACCGGTACCGTATTACGTGTAATGATTTAATACTGATCTCAAAACAATTGCTGTTAAAAATGACTTTTTTAAAAGTTTTAATTACCACCGTGCTTAAGTATTCATTAAATCAGCCTAGGACCATACTTAATATATTTTTTCTGAACATTCTCGAAACAATTTCTGAAACAATTTTCTATAAATAGACGTAACGTTATGGACTAGGAATGAAAAATAAATTGTCGTACGACCCTGGTAAATAAAATTACACTATACCTGTATTAAAATTTAAATGTCAATGTTTGGGCTAGGCATGTTATGGATGAGTAATGCATTCTGCAGGATATACCTATACAAACATAAACAAATCGTATTGTAGTCTAATTTTTTTTGAGACGGTCCCTATACCAGGAAGTTCTACTGTCCTCAAAGCCACCCGAAAACTGGATGCCTGCTTGCACAACATATCGCACACGTTAAGTAATAACATACAATGAACGTAGCTCCACGAATTTACAGTTATAACTATTGAGTGTTACTCTTAGTTTTTAGAAACATAATCATCATCATCATGGACGATCGATCGAACTTAGTGTTTGTCGAGGAACCATCTCCATCACTGTTTTGTTCAATTTGCAAACTACTTCTTTTTGATCCAGTAATCAGTGTGAAATGTGGGCACACATTTTGTCGTCTGTGCGTGGAGTCAACTCCGTCGCCTTCCGAAGGGAATGACAGCGGATCCAAATTACCTTGCTGTCCTGTTGACAAAACTACATTTGTTGCCGAAGATCTGGTAGCAAACAGGTAAGTCTGGCGTGGTGTCCATGTTACTGTTTTTTTTTAAATTTTAATTTATTTAAATCTACGAAACATTTCATATAAATCAATTGTCAATAATTGTCAAGCCAAACTTTAAATAAGATTTACTATAGTAAGGGAAGGGAAGACGGTTCTCAAAATTATAAGCTTCATCCTGACTTGATCTAATTATTATAATATTATGCGGTGTTAAATTGTTGGAAGCCATGGGGTAGTGCCACAAATTCTTTCTTAGCTTTTTAAGATATCAGATGTGAGTATCCAAAAGTGCTGAATGCAGATTTCAAACATTGGACAGGCCAAGTATATTTGGATACTGTATATCCAAAACTATTTTTAAAACTTAAATAAAATTTTATTTTGGACACCAGTTTGCACCTTTGCAAATTGATTAATTGTTCTTTATTCCACTATTTAATGGATATTAAAACATATTATTGCACATTATTTTATTCATTATCAAAAAAAAGTTATTTTTTAGGTATTAGGAATGATTGAGAAAATCTACCTAGCTGTATCTTTATTAATTGCCTCCTTACTTAATTGTAGGGGGAAAAACGATATTTTTCCCAACAAAATCACTTTATGAAGGTAGGCAAATGAGGGGCAAGGTACGATTTTGGTGGGGTGAGGGGCAAGGTCCCCAACAAGAGAAAAGCGGGCATGGTCGGGTGTCGATTAAAATTTTTTTTTAAGAGTGGTCCAGGGGGCGGAGCACCCAAAAATATGACAATTTAGGTGTTTCAGAGGCTTATTTAATCAATTTTATATACAGATAATCTACTAATATGTAGAAAACACATATACAATAATAGCGCTGCCATTGTTTTTAGTTCTTGATCAGCTTCACCAAGGTTAGCTAAAGACATTCTTTCTACTTTCAACCCTACTGATACCTCCAATATAAACTGACTGCAAGGTGGAACAACAAGAATCTACCCTTAGCAATTTTTAGGCCTCTATAGTAATACACTGTTTTTCTTGAGTAGGTGGGTTATAAAGTTTATTTTCAAGCCAACAAAGAACTTCCAAAAATTACTTTTGGTGATAACAAACATTCAGTAGTGAGTACACAATGCACCTGATGTATTAAATGGGATAACCAACCATGCATTAATTGTATATAGAAGCCATATTGAATATTCACATTCAACTGTGCTTTATGACCCATTTATATTACATTTTTTGGTAAGATCTAAACGTAGTGGAATTGACTATGCAGGGATCCAGAGATGTCCTAAAGTGGGGCCGATCGAGATAACACCACCCTAGGGGGTCTGGGAGCATGCTCCCGCAAAATTTTCGTTTTCTAGACGCCCAAAAATAACCTCTGAGGCGTTTTGGGTGATCATTTTTTTCTTTTTCTTTCATTCTTTTTTTTCTCTTTTTTTTCACTTTCCAAAAGGAGGGCTGGGGCTGGCCCGGCCCCCTAGATCTGCCCCAGCAGTGTATTGCAACCCTTCGCCCTTCTAACTGCAGTAGCTTCTTCCAGGATCAGTCTAATGCAATGGTCCCAAGTTGAAAGGAATCACTTCTGTGAGATCTGGCTAAATGAGCTTTTCAACACATTTAATTTTATTTTGCTGCCCATGGTGAATTGGTGATAGTGATTCTTGCATGCTTGTGGAAGTGGGGGAAGCTGTCCCGATTTCCATTTTTTTTTTTCGCCATTTAGGACCCATGCTACAGTAGTCTTTTTGTAGACAGTTAGGACAGAGATAACTCAAAGTTTTTGAGTGCGCAGTGAATTTCATGTGATGTCATTACATTGTAGTATCTTCCTGTCGTTGTGCCATGGAAATCTCTATTCCCTCCCTATGTAGACATTCAAATCATAGAAAACCAGAGCTCCATGTTGGAACTAATTCAGGAAAAACTCACCTCCTTTCTTGAAATCCTTTCCTTGTTATGTTTGATCTTTCTGTTTTATAATTGATAATAGACATATGGTTGAAATATATTCTGTATTTGAACACTAAACCAACAATTTTTCATGATATTGTTGTAGTATCTTCCTGTCGTTGTGCAATCGAAATCTCTATTCCCTCCCTATGTAGTCTAGACATTCAAATCATAGAAAACCAGAGCTCCATGTTGGAACTAATTCAGGAAAAACTCATCTTCTTTCTTGAAATCTCTTCCTTGTTATGTTTGATCTTTCTGTTTTATAATTGATAATTGACATGGTTGAAATATATTCTGTATTTGAACACTAAACCACCAATTTTTCATGATATTAATGAGGTTGAAACAATTTTATGTTCAGTCTTGCCCAACTATTTTATTATGGAGACTTTTGCCAATTTGTAGTGTTTCAAATCTGAAACGGATAATAAAAATTTATAACTGATTTATTAATATATGAATTTGCTTCATCAACATTTTTTTTTTCTGCACTAGAGCAATTGCTTCCCAGCTTGAGGATTTGCTCATTTACTGTCGGTATAGCGCTGAAGGTCAGAGATCACAAGGACAGCACACGACCAATGAGAATGCTGATGAATGTAATGTGAAACTCCCTCTTAGTAAGCTAAGAGATCATGAAAAAAGTTGCCAGTATGCGTTAATAATTTGCCCAAACTTTGCTGAACGATGTGGAAGCATTAGGAAGAAAGATCTGGACCGGCATCTACACTCTTGCAATGTTGTGCCTTGTATTTACAAACACAATGGTTAGTACAACTTGTGGTCGTTCATGTGAATTGTGAGCCCCGGTGCTGGATTAAGCGTCGTCTGGCCTCAAGGCACATTTTGGAAATGGCCCAAAAATGTTAATTGGATGGACCCCATGGTAATAATACTCTGCCACAACTCTAACAGTAGAATGTCTCCGAGTTTTCTGGCCTAATAATACCGGAAAATAGAGTGTAAATATTATTGCAGTCCAACTTTTGATGGCCCATCATTTTCGCCTGGCCCACAAGGCTTGTGCCTTATTTGCCTAATGGTTAATCCGGCACTGGTGAGCCCCAGTGTTCTGTTTGCCCATTAAATAGTTGGGACATGTATCATGTGGTAGAGAAATTAAGAAATTGATTCCATACATTTGGCTCTTTAAATAAATTTAAAATCTTTGGTACAGTACATTAACATTATCAGGAAAGAGTAGGAGATATTTTCCTGGTGTAATGACCAATTTTATCTTCCTGTTAATTATGCGCACAATGTATTGCTGTGTTAGTAAACACTAATGCTCAGTTCGCACTATGAAATACCATGTAATGAGCAGAAAGAAAGGGATTCAGGCTTATTTACTATATAACCCTATACATGCACCTATTTTTTCATGTTTAATTCCTATGCCATAATTTTTTCCATAGGTTGTAAATTTATTGATACCAAAGACAAAGTGAGCATACATCAGTGCACATGCGTATATGTAAAGAAACCAGAAGTGAATGGTAATCATCGAGATAACACCACAGATGAATCAATCGTCTTAGAGGTAATAGAAACCAGTGGCATATAATTAAGCCGGGCAGTCCCTGTGTCGTACGATCATTGGCCATCGACACACTCTTTGAGCACTAACATTTTTTTTAATAAGAACCAGTAAAATTTTGCCCAGGCTCAGTTTTCTTATTTTTTGGCTGATTTCAGGCTCAAAATGTTCTTATTTTGTTCTTATGTTACACATTTTTCAAACATAAAAAATGATTATTGTACAGCATTATACACTGTACTGGAATGTAGGTAATGATGGTGGCCCCGGAAAAAATGGCCCCTGGATAAAAGGCCCCTAAAAAATGGCCACAGAAAAAAGGCCCCGGTAAAAATGTCCCCGAATGACAGGTACTGTACGTACACCAACTGTACTGCATTATAGAGGGTATTACATAGTTGCACATACTGCACATATGGTAGATATAATTTTTTGGTTTTTATTCTAGTTTTCTTAAATAAAAATTTCATTTGATATTTTACTTCAGCCTCAATTTGTTCTTATTTTGTTCTTAATTTTTAAGCAATTTCAGCCTCAGTGTTCTTATAAAATGTGTTCTATTTAAAAAAAAAAAAGTGTACATGTTATGATGCAGCCTGCTGATTGTCAAGGCCTGTCTGAAGGGATCGCTGTTTAAAACAATCCATCGCATGTCCGTTTATGGTGTTGCGTTCTCCATTGAATCACGTTGGCTGACGATCATTGGCGCAGCAAGTGCCTGCCTTTATAATACAGTACCGTATACACAGAATATCACTGTCATCTTGTTAATTATGCATGTCATTATAAACATCTGTGGCACATCTCATTATTGGCCCCCTGTATTTTCCCATTGTTTAAAATGTGATTGTGATTTTTTTTGTATTGTTTGGTACTAAGATTGAAGCGTTGAAGCAAGAAAACATTGGACTGAAGTCGCATGTCACAGTATTGACCCAAGAGATGACAAATCTTAAGAATTCCCATGATTCATTGCAAGCACAAGTTGAGAAATATGCTGCGTAAGTATTTTAATTAAGGAAAGTTTGCTAAACACAGGTGAAAATATCAGAATATTTTGTCCATTGTCTTGATATTGGAATTCCAGATATTTGTGTAGCTTCTGATAGTATCTATTAGCTCTTTCATTAGGAAATACTAATAGGCACAGCCTTCCCCCACCCCCACCCACTTTTGTCCCCTAGTTTTAGTATCGCATTAATTTTGACAAACTAAATTAAACTATATTGTAGTAATAAACATGACACTAATTTGGGTTAAATGTGCTCCTAACACCAGGTGTATATCCTTGAACAGGTTAGTGACGAGCCTCAAGTCCAAATTGGATGACCTTCAGATCAAGCCAATTGACCAACAAGCTGGACAGGCACTAACAGGCTCCAAGTCTAAACTCACAAGCAGCAATAGTTTTACCTCAGGTATTACACTTTTTATTTCATTTGTCATTGTTTTCATTAGCTAAATTTTAAGAGTTGTAAAATAATATTTTTTTTTAAAGTGGTATGGTAATAATTTCAATTTTTTGTAATGGTATTTAATAATTCTAAATAAAACCAGATTAATGTTTGTGATTTAGTGTGTATGATTTTTATTCTTGTATAAAAGCTTTTCATTTTAATACTAGATTTTTATAATTTTATTAAGTATAAGTAACATAACACAAATTAATAAATAAAAAAATTGAGTTGAAGTTTAATATATTTGCCTAATTTCCAGGATTCACATTGAATGTTCATTTCTCAATGACATCTAGACAACTGCAAAAACATGTCTTATATTAACTTTGTCTGGTAACTCTCAACTTTTATATTTTCTTGGTTGACAGGTCATAAGAGGAAGCCGTCGTTTAACAGCAGTGAATACACAATATCGTATCATGAACAGTGGCAACTTCCATTCGAGTTTAAATGCATTGGAACTTTGAGGTAAGGTTTCCCATATCCTGTTGTATAGTTGCTGCTGCTGTTTTTAAACTTCTTTTAATTCTCTTTGCAACCAACAGAAGATATCTTCATCCCTTGAATAGAAGTTAAAGACACTATTCCTATGTACACAATGACTTTTTAATAAAGAGAAAGGGTTGGGACAGGGAGGCTTTATGTGGTAATTGTTTATATGCTGTGTTAACGAAAAAAAATGTTGAACCAAACATTCTGCAAAGAATGCAAAACCAACAATGGAATTCTTTCCCCAAAGAATATCCCATGGAATAGCGTAAAACCTTGAATTGAAGCCCAATGGGCTTAATCGAATTAAAGCCCCCCCCCCCCCTTCTTAGCTTGCAAAAGTAGCCATGAAAGAAGCTCATTTCGAAAAGAAGGCCATGGGCTTCAATTCAAGGTAGTATTGGCTTTTTTTTTTAGATAGTACTGTACATGTATTTCAAGGAAACAAAAACAAGTTAAACATGCTTTGTTTATACAGCAGTTTAGGTGATTTAATGCCAGTTAATACACTCCATGATGCAGATTGATGTTACAGTTTCCCTATTTATTGTAGTATAGTATACTATTTATAGTAGTAATTCCCAAAATTTACAGCATTCATTTTGAAAAAAGGCCCCCTCCCCACCCTCTTTACTTTGCAAAAGTAGCCTCGAAAAGAAGCCCATCCAAATTTTGCAAAAAAAAAAAAAAAATCCCAGGGCTTCAATTCAAGGTATTATGGTATGTCCCATAGGTGTTCCAATGATGATGGGATAATAATTGTGAAGTATATAGAGGCTTATGCACCACATAACCTGTTGTTAGCATTATTGTGCTAGAGGCTACATTAACATATATATGTGTTTTTATAACTTGGATAATTGCAATACATATATAACCTGTTATAGTCATGCATTGTTTTATTAGGTGCTAGAGGCTTAGGCAGTTTGTGCTATACATTAACATATACATGTTTTTATAACTTGGATAATTGCACTACATGTATAACCTGTTGTTAGTCTTGCATGGTTTTGTTAGGTGCTACAATCTTAGGCATTTTGTGCCATACATTAACATATGTGTTTTTATAACTTATAACCTGTTGTTACTCTTGCCTTATTGTGTTAGGTGCTAGAGGCTTAGGCATTGTGTGCTATATATTAACATATAAAATGTATATTTTAATATTTGTTTTACAGGGGTCATAATGGAGCCATTTGTTGTCTTGCCACTAAAGGTCATAAGTTATACAGTAGTGGGGCTGATAAGGTCATTAAGGTTTGGGACATGGAAACGCTGAGCAAGGGATGGATGCATATGTTCAAAGGCCACACAGAAACTGTAAGTGTTTGCAGACTGTATGTAGTAAAAGCAAGGCAAACCAGTCATTCCTTGCAAAAAATCAAGTTTCAATTTTTAATTCATTGAATCAAGTTTCAATTTTTAATTCATTGTTAAAAAATGAAATGAAATTTATGGTAAAAGAATCATTTAAGTCTGACATTTCGTAACATAAAGTTGCAGGAGTTTAAACATCTGTTTAAAGAACAGTATTTGAGAAATCAAGCTTCAAAGTTTACAATTTCAGCCATTTCTTAGGCCATCACCAAATCCTCACATATGTAGTTTTAACATTGAAAATGGGGAAAATGATAACATAGCATCATGTATAGATATATAAAGTTTAGTGCTGAAAAATAGATTTCAACAAGTGTGATATATTCCAGCATGTTTCAGCCATTAGACAAGACTTTTTTATACCTTGTTTAGCGAACCCCCCAAACGCAAATATTGTTGATTTGGAATAAAAATAAAATTTTATTTTTGTG